GAGCCAGTTTTAATTCAAGGTTCACGTAACTGTTTAAACCCGTTATCGCATGCATCCATTGTGATCCGGAGTCAGTTCCCACCCAGGATTAGTTCAGTGAAGTTGAAGTTAATTCTATTTTTAGTGTGTTGACAACCAGCACTGTGTGAAATGTTACGCACTGGTGTTGAATTATAATGAACGTAAATTGTTCAGTCCTTTGCTTGTTGTCCTTTAACGACACATTCACGAACTCCATTACTGCTGTCTTCTATTAAGTCGTTTAACAGAGTTTACTACGAGATTATAATAACTAACAGTAATCATCAAGAAACACATGCAATGACCTAGTCCGAGCTAGGGTTGGCTTTAACTCCTACACAAGTAAACGATAGTCAACCAGACAATCTTTAATTGGCCAGCTTTCCCCCCAATGTGGACGTGGTAGCGTCTTGTTCTCTATACCACAAGACAGAATACGGTTTTTGCCATCTGTTGCACAAGCAAACTTTCCAACAGGCTGTTTAAAACCTGGAATTCCCGAAATTCCTCCCCTGATTTCACTGTTGTGTGTGTGTGGTGGTGGTGTGTGTGTCTGTGTGTGCTGGTGGGAATGTGTATGTGTCGTCGTGTGCGTGTGTGGTGGTGTGTGGTGTGAGTGGTGTGGTGGTGTGTGTGCCTGTGTGTTGGTGTGTATGTGTGTGTGGTGTGGTAGGTTGATAGTGCTCAGCGTAATGTGTGTCTGTGTTTGTAGTTGTGTCTTAAGGAGGAGGCCGTAAGCCACTTGCAGCGAGTCCTTCGCTGACTGAAACACTCCTGAATCCGGAGAGGTCTTGGTGTGTTCTATGCGGTCTCGTGAGCCAATCAAAGGAGACCTGTGAGGACCACACCATTAAAGTCTGTGTTCACTCAGATAACTGAATAAAAAAACGCTTGCGTGGCAATGTGCAATACAACACCTGTCATGCATTTTTTTGGGAGCAAAGGGCAACCGAGTTGCGAGTTATGACCTGGGTTTGGTATTGTCCTGAAAGCGAAAGTTGTGGTTTTTCAATCAACGACCTCGACAGAGAGACCTCGGGGGCAGTCCACTGTTTGCCTTCCAAACACAGGAGTCGGTGTTTGTTTTCTGGGTGTCTGGTAATATAAAAGAAGCAACCATCGTCTTGAGGCAAACCATTTGTTGCGTCACTGTATTTAAAAACGGAACTTGGAATACTGGACATGGTCTGACACCGACACCTGCTGACTAGACAACATAGTTCCAGATTAAATAAAATTAAATACAGACTTAATGAAAAAAAAAGCCTTTTAACCCTTCTTAACGTTCCCATATTCCCCCAGAGAATCTTAATATATGGTACAACATGTATTACCATGTAGATGCCAAAAAAAAAAATAGAATATGAATTTCTTTGTATTTAGTTCAATAGTTTTTACATCAACTGAACTTGAAACAAAAAAGCCAACCCTTTTAAGCAAAAAAGTGATTTTGGGTTTCAAACTGGATCATATTTCCTATGGAGAGAAATGCCTCCATTTGCCAACTATCGCTAATGTAGCTGCGGTTTAGTTTAAATGCCTAAAGAGGCGCCTGTTAGCGTCCCAACCGAATGGGGGGGCCTCAGCAGCGTCCCAGTTGAACACACCTTCAGAGACAGACCAGAAACAGTTTGACGAACAGCCGGTACCTGAGGGGATTTTATGGACGTGTTCCCAGATGACCTTGTTGCCAAAAGAAGCCTAAACTGTCGCTAACGTGACTTTAGTCCCCGGGGTGCGAGGAGTTGACACCTCAGTAACTTTACTTCCGTGTGTGGTTCAAACTGGCTCCCCTTTGGGCGCAGTTATCTTAGAAAGCTCCATAGTGGAAACCCCTATTACCCCTCTTAGAACCACTGCGTTCTCTTAATGCAGCGGTTACATTGTGTTACATAGTCTGCTAAAAGAATAGAACAAGAAGAGCGCAGCAGCCTTACAGTAACTAGCGCAAGCTCGCTCTCGCTGTGGAACGCACAAAGCCTAGACACAGTACGTGGTTCTGGAGGGCAGACACCCTCTCCCACATTTAAGAGTAGGCTTAAAGACGTATCCTCCTTATGCCTCAAACGACTTATAGTATAGGGCATGGAATCAGGTGAGTCCTGAACCATCACCTCTTAGTATAATACCATGAGACGCTATCAGGGAAAACACAAAAACCCCATAGGACTATCGGAAGGGAATCCCACTTCACATCCTACGCACTCGAGCCTCTCCAATCTCCATCCTACCATCAACTCTCCCAGATATAGTCTGAACACACCAATTCAGTTAAGGTCCAAATATCGTTAACAATTTGAGACCACGTACCTCTCAACCTAACCAACCAAACTATTCTCATTCATATACCTCCCAGAGTCTGACTAGGTTCGGAGTAAGTGCTTTAACATCCGCAATTCTCCGCAGGTTTCTATCCTAAGGGACTCACCAACCTGAGCATGGAGGACCTCCCTGGCCGATGGTGCCTACTAATGCCTTGAACTAGCCATTGCATTATAATCACAAAATGAATATACAATGGGCATACAGTCTCATACACAACTACAGGTAGGTTCAAAATATATCTCTAACAATACCCATAAATTAGTATTAGTAAAGCAGAGTTAATACAAATAAAGTATAGTACGAATTAATTCGATAATGATACCTAACTATGATCATAACTTAGATTGTACAGCTTGACCACCACTGCTTGATGCCCCCATAAACCACGTATGCTGGGACTACATATCCATCTGTCATCCTCCAACATTAAGTCTTTCTTCATAAGATTCGTCATCGATCATACATCAAACTATTAAGAGGAAATCAAATTGTAGAACAAACAACTTGTTGCTAAACTGCTTGTCATAGCTAAGTACACACTCTCTCTCTCTCTCTCATCGGAAACAAGGACAGATTCATCTCAATCCAGAACATCCAATCAAATCATCAACCTCGTCCCTTACATCCTCTTCCCCACCCCACATAGGTCAAACAGGTGAGTACGAGCCCACCACAAACAACTTCACGCTAAGAAGGCCCGAAGGTCTGTCCGAGGATTCTTAGACCTGTTAAAAAGGCAGTTTTTCCTTGCCCCTGCTCGCCAAGGCGCTTGCTCATGGTGGTAACTAAAAAAGTTGGGAAAACTCCATACTGTAAAATGTATAAAAGAGTTCGGCATCAAATTAAAAGACGCGAATGCTCATAAATATCGTGAAAAGTGTCCTGAGATAACTTACTGTTAATAGAAATGGAGCGCTATAAAACACAAATAAAAATGAATTGAATTGAATTGAATAATGATCATATAATATTAGTATATCCACATATATCATCCCTACAAAGGGCGGAGAAACGTACTATCAGGGTGCTGTGCCAAATTATGCACGGGTAACTATAGGAGAGAGGATGTTCAAAAAGGAAAATAGAACCTCAATCGCAATACACAAATCCTTTAGACTCCAACAGAAAATCTATATCATCTTAGGCATACCCCCCCTTAATAGATCTATGTTCTTTCAGGCCAATACAGACGCGCCATATGTGAACCAGAAAATAGTATGAGTTGCCCTCAAAAAAGTTTAAATGTTAGGAAAATTTCAGACAGTATAGGGTTCTTTTTTCCCTAAATCCTCGTTCTGTTAATGCTGGATTTATTCTTCTAATACAATAATATATAAGATAAATTTTTCCGATTAGAACTAGATATCAGTGATGTCGAATAAGACTAGCTCAAAAAAAAATGTAAACCTGAGGCCATCGTAAAGGAAAAAGAGACTGATAACCAAAAATAAAACATTATCTATGATCTATGTGATCCCTTCAAAATTGTATTGTTTGTTTTTTAATTATTACAGTTAATTTGTTTGATTAGATCCTCTTGCTGTTTTGTTGTTATCAAAGGCTTGTTTTATTATTTCTGATCTCATTCCCATGAAATTCAAAATAGCAAGACGTGCTTGTTTACTAAATTAAAAGAATGCTGAAAATAAAAATAAATATATATTTTTATATATATATATATATATATATATATTTTTAGCATTTTCTGTAATACAGTACACTGATGTGTGTTTTAACATCGGCCATTATGGTGGAACTGGGAGAGCCTGATATTTGTTGAGGTTGTACGCGCTGTAAAAAGTTTGAAAAACCCTTTTATTTCCCTTCAACATCACTGTTTTTATTGGCTACATTCTGATTACCAGTTAATTAGTGGAGTTTTTACTCTTCCTGCTGTTTCATGTCTCCATTGTTGTTACTGAGGCTGAAGACAAACACTGTGGCGAGAGGAAGAACAGAACAAATAACTGCTGCTCTCTATTGTTCTCTAATGGTTCGTCACTCAGTCGGTGTTAAACAGTGTGGAGCCGCTCTGTCGCACATAATCACACACTTCCTGCTGCAGCCACACAAAAACAAAAACACACTGAAGTTTCACTCAAAAAACAGCTGAGAGGCTTAAATACTGAATAAGTTGATCTCTGTACTTACAACCTGCCTGGAAGTTATGTTGTTTCTCTCTTTTTAATGCTAGGCTGGCAGATTACACCTTTTTACAGTTTGTGCTAAGCTAAGCTAAAACTATGTCATGGATCCAGGGCCTTAGATCCCGTGGGGTCGAATCTTAAGTATTTTTCCTTGGAATTTAATTATTTTTGGGACCTTAAAGAATTTCATATTGTGGGATCGAAAATGTGCTGCTTTTTAAAGGCCGAAATTTAAATGTGTCTACTGTTGACATTTAGTTAGTTTTAAGTTGATTTCCAGAGAAAACTTGCAGTAAATATAATCACATAAAAACTAAATATGTAAAATCCAAATAATTTAAATCTATAATCTAATTTGAGTGATCACAAGACTACCATCACCATTTACCATTAACTATTTACCATTTCCACAATAAGACCTATATTCTATATGTTTCTTATGCTACTTCACCACCATTATTTCTAAGCTACTGGCTGTTGCTAATTACAGATAATGTTAGTTATCTGTGTTAGTAATGCGGTGGACGACCACTGTCCTGGTTAGTTTGCATTGTTAGGTCAGTATTTTAGGATTTAGTTGAGCTGCTGACCGACAACATGAGGATTTTAATAAAATCTATATATATAGTTTAATAAAAAGAACAGAGGTTCTAGGATGCTTCCCTGATGAACTCCAAAAGTGATTGACTTCACCTTACTATCAGTTTTGCCAAATCATCAGTGTGTTATTGATAAGCTCACGCTGTTACCATGGTGATGGCGCCGTAGTTGTTCTCTGGCTTGGTTTCCATGGCAATGAGTGTGGTGCTGTCCTCCTTCTGCTCCCCTCTGCTCCTCATCCTTCCTCACCTCCTTCGTCCTCTTCCTGCAGAACTACAAACACACAAATACAGATACAGTATACTCATGTTTATGAATCAAAATGTAAAAAAGTGAATTTTATTACAGTTCTATAACTTTTAAAATTCTGATTAAAATAAGAAAAATAAAACAATAGCAGCACTCTGATGTAAATTTAAGCCTGATTATTTGTGTTTTAGCAGCTTTCGTCTGTATTTATAGGTCATGGTGTTGGTTTTACAGTGTAAATATATTTAATTAAACATTAAAAAGACAGACAAGTAGATTTCAAATTAAAGCTCAACACTATATTTCATTATTTTATTATAGACAACTACTGTATTTTTTTTGCACCCCAGCTGCCAGAATATTACTGACTTGTGTTCCTCAATGAATTTTTGCTTATGCTAATTCCTGCTTCTAGCCTGTCAATCAGTCTCACAGCACACATACAGTCAGCCATGAAACTATAACAACAGAAACTTCAGCTGATGTTTGTTAAAGTGACTCTGCAGAGATGTGGACTGGTGCCAGCTGGCAGGGCTCTGATTGGCTGCAGGGCTTGCACTGATCAGGTGACGGCTTTCATATTGTATTTAATCTCATCAAACCTGTTTTTTTATTTAACTTTTATTTTAATTTATGTATAACATTAACCTGCCAATTTGTCTGTATTTACATTATTCAATGGTTGTTTTATTAACTGATTGTCTGTCAGCTGTAAAACACCTTCCTGTATGAAACATTAACAATTATCTGTATCTGTTCAACAAACTAAATTATCATATTCAGAGCTGTGTACAGAATGGGCGTGGCTTAAATCATAAGTGGACGGGACTAACCAGTTGTTCATTTAAGCCTGATGTTGATACGGGTTGATGAGGAGCTCTTATATTTATTATAAAACTATTTACAGTATCAGAACTAATCTTCAGACCAACGTTTTTGATTAACAAAACTATTTACAGAACAATTTCTTTCTTATTTCAGGATTTTAGTTGACTTTTTTGAGCTACTGATTTATTAAAATGTATTTAAGGTTTAAGAGAAAAAAACAGAGGCTCCCTGAGGAACTCCACAAGTTACTGACTTCACCTTCCTATCAGTTGTTTAGTTGTTCAGTTCAATGTCTTGTTGTTTAAATGTGCATTTATGCATGTTGCCTATATGGAATAAAATTACAGATTAAAATTTGATGTGGTGTCATAATTAAACGTAGTGTTAATCTGAATGTTGATTAACGAGAACATTTAAAAATGTCACATCAAAAAGGTTGTTTATAGCTTGTATTGAATTTTGCATTATGTTTTATTATTTTATTTTTCATGTTTTTATTTTTTACCTACTTTTGATTCCGTAAGTAGTGGTGGTAACTTAAGTACAAATATTAGTAGTTATCTCTACTTGAGAATTTATTCTTCTGACAACTTTTTACTTTTACTCTCAAAATCTCTAGACAAATATTTGTACTTTCTTTACCTTAAATTTTAAAAATATGATAATTTTACATTTGAAGGGAATTATTGATTATTATTATAATATAGATTGTACGTGAAAATGTAAAAAATGTTTTGTTTTTTGCACAAAACATAAAGCATTTTTTCATCGCCAAAATTTAGCTTAACTTTGGAGCGTTATTTAGCTTCCTTCCTGACAAGGGATGTGTCATCTAGATTCATATGATATGTTTAAAATAAACCCGATAAAGTCTCTTTAAGAGAGGGTAGCGTGGAAGAGGGAAGGATAATGGGGTGACCAATCAATTTTCAGGCCCCCCCTCTGGACACACCCCTGCTCTGTCTTGACCTCACCACATGAGACCAGACCAGACTGGTTTTGTACAAACTGTCCTGTAAACTCTGTAAACATGTATGTGTTAATTGCTACTGACAGTTTGTCTCTACTTCTGTTTGTTGTTCTCTCTGTGTGCATTAGTCTGCTGTAATTATAAGTCAGCTGTAACTGTAACATGTGAAAGCTGATGTGCAAATAAAGGTTGAATGACTGAAACACAAATATTCTAATTTATAATGAGATGAAACTGAAAAATAATGTAATAATCAATATAGCTGATTAAATACTGATTTAATAAATGTGACCTTTTAGTATTTTTACTTTGTTGTACTTTTACTCAAGTAAATGATCTCAGTACTTCTTTCACCACTACCGACGGCAATTATTAATTGATTAATCAACTGACAAGAAATCAAATGTATTGATAATGGAAAACTCCATATCTGAAGCTTTCTGACGATTTTAACGAAATCATTCTATTTTAAGACATAAAGATGAAACATCTGGTTTCATTTTGGATTATTAGAAGAAAATTACTTCTTGATTATCAGTTCCCTGACCCTGTCAGGGACAGTTTATCTGTTGATCACAAACAGAAACTTAAAGAACCAAAAACTAAGATGTCTGATTGAAATGCTTGAGTAAATATGTTTTTTGTTTTGTTTTTATGTCCAACTTCACTGTGTGAAATGTCCCATGGATCAGTAGTGGAAAGTCAAATTGATTTAGTAATAAATAATATAATATTATTATATCATTTCTTTTATTTTGGCAGTTAAGCCCCTAAAAAACACCTACAACTACAACAGTAAAATCCCTTTACAATAATCTAATGATATCAGATATAATAGCATAGCAGTTGAATAGTTTAACTACATTTTACTCATTATACACATACTTTTACTGTAGTAACACTTTCAATGCAGGACTTTTCCTTGTAGTATTTGTACAATATGATATTAGTACTTTTAATTAAATAAAAAGGATCAGCATACAAACAACCGGTGCAGTCGATTTATTCTAATCAATCATTAGTGTTATAGTTTTAATAAAGTAATCTTTTAGTCCATAAACAGCCGGTCACTCAAAATGAAATATCTTGCTATAGAAATAAAATTCAACAAATAAATTATTATTTACTATAATTTATCTTTTTAACTTGTTTTTTTTTTTTTTTTACAGAAATTCCTCTGGAACTCAAAATAAACTTCATAAAACTTAAAAACGTCTGCTGTTACGGAACATTTTCTGATTCCTGTCCCGGAAATAATCAGAATTATCAATAAATCTAAATATTTCAGGCCAAACACACAGAACAACCAACTAACAACAACTTCAACAAGCTGACTGATCAAAAAAAGTACTTAATCGACAGTACTGATTATGTATTAATGAATTTGACACGCATATCCTTGCTCCATCTTTATGAGGACCCTCGCTAACATATTGCATTCCCCAGCTCGTATCCCTAACCTTAAGCATCTTAACACCAACCCTCAGCCTAAACCTAAACCTTAAAACCAAGTCTGGACCCTCAAACAGACCATTGACGTGAAGACTGACCAAAATGTCCTTGCTTTCCAAAAATATCCTCACTTTCTAAAGACACATTGGTCCTCACAAAGATGGATGTACACAGACGTGCTGTGGAGACTCACCCGGGTGTGCACTGGTTGTCGGTGCTCAGGTGAAGCTCAGGTGAGTCTCCAGCTCGAAGCAGAGCAGTTGCGTGTGTCTGTGTGTGTTCAGTTTCAGCTTCAGGCTGACTGCTGTAAGCCCCACCCCTAATGCCAACCCCTGCCTCAGTGCTTCCTCTGTCATAAAAAAACACACCTGAAGTTTGTTCCTGTCAGGTGTCCTCCTGACTTGTACTTGTTTATGAAATCTTTATAGTGATATTTAAACTGAACTCAACACATAATGACATGAATAAAACACATTATGCTGTAAGTTTTTTGTATAAAGCGCATTTTTTGTTTTGCTTCTTTATAGAAAAACTAGAATATTTTTCTTGTAGTTTTTATTCAAACAATTTTTGGGGATGTTGAACTTTTCTGACTTATTTAGATTGTTATATTATTATTTATTTAGATTCATATATTATTATATATAATATAATTATATATAATATTATAGTGTTGGGGAAAGTAATAAAGTGAAAACATAACCCCTTAAAAATAACCTCTTTTTATGTCATTGGCCAAATAAAATAGTTTGTAACCAAAATGCACATATGAGGACTCAATGGAAAGGTAACACGCTTTAGTTTGAGGCTAAAACACAAACCACACTACATCAATTTAAACATGACTCACTGAACTATACCTCAGAATATTTCTGTTCTATATTTATCAGGCTGTCAACACTGATCAACTGGCTAATAATAATAATAATAATAATAATAATAAAATAGTACTTTTATTTGTAAAATACTTCCAAAATTATGAGTGTTATATGCATCATATGCATATAAACATCTTCCTCATCATCCATATTTGTATAGATTTCAATCCCACTGGGAGTCACCAAAGCTTCAGGCCTTCTTGATTTTAATGGCGTAAGAAAATGTACACAAAAATATACACAGCAGGCTGTTGGCATTTTGTTAATTTCTTTAAAGAAAATTAAATTAAAAAAATCTGATTATTTAAAATGTAAACTGAACACAAGCTATATTCACAAAGCCTTCCACTCTCTGATAAACAGCCTCATTCTGCAGTAGAAAGCCAAAGAGCTGATAGAATATTGAAGAAAACACTGAATCTGCAAATAAAAGTCTGTATGATGATGATAATGATACAAATACATGCAGACAAGAAGAATAATCTCTGATCAATATTCACAGGAAATAATTGCTAAAAATTCATCCAAGTCTCTGGTTTTCCACAAACTTCCAGCAATTATTGTGTTCACTGTTTGGGTCCATTGTTCAGCTTATCAGCTGTTCTCTGCCGTTATTATTATTGTTGAATATAATATGAAATAAAGCTGCAAGCAGTGAAGATTGGGCCTCGCAGTCTGCACGCGTCGGGCCGGGCTGTGGTTGCGTCATGTGTCAGCATCAACATTTCTCATAAATCAGATGATGATCCCCGCACAACCATTATTACCTGTTTCCAATAGGGAGCGCAATGAGTATGAGGGAATATTTGCATTGTTTTCACAAATAACACAAATTTTAATCATGAAGGTCTTAAGATCACATTGACCAAATTTGAAGTTGGTCCGATCAGTTCCCTAGGAGGTCTGTTAAAATATGTGCAAACCAGCAAAAATGACCACTAAATTTAAAATTCTAGTCTGGTCTGGTCATGATACACATGTGTACCAATTTTTATACACATCGGTAAAATGTGCGTTTTGAGCCACAATACAGTGACACAAACAGGATGTGGGATTTGGATACTGATCTAGATTATGAAATAAATATGGTAACTAAAGGTTGATCTACTTGTTTGAGGTTTGGCCCAACTCTGACTGACTTCCTGCCAGGTGTGGACCTATCACCACCCATTGGTTTGTTGAGTCCCGCTGTGACAGTTGGAGCCAGCAGTGGTGACATACTGCGGGTTGAGCTGCTCTAATTGGCTGCTCTTTGTTTGGAAACAATGGCGGCTAGCCTGGTCACACAGGATCTGGTATTCCAGATAAACGGTAAATGTGTTTGTGAACAGATTTGAGAGAGAAATAGTCAACAACAGAATCTGGATCCAGTATCTGATCAGGCCGCCTGTTTGGTGCGTTGAGCTGGACGGACTCACTGTTTGTTTTTGTTCCTGCAGTGTGACGTTTCTTTGAACAGCATTTTTTTCCTCACATTCAAATATTATACAGCATCAAACCACAATAAACTCACTAAAAACTTGTTATGGACTTTAGTTAAACGGGCAACAACTTTCCTCTTCCACGTGTGTAGACAATAAGTCTGCCGGTAATAATAGTCGACCCTGTTTCATCAACATCCATCGTTGCTCACATCCACTGTATGGTGTTTTTTGCAGTTTGTTGACCCCTCTTGGCCACATACATCACAACTTGTTTGGAAGTCAATCCTGGTCCAGTGTGATCCACCAGTGAGAAAGGACTAAACAGTTAAGTACGAGACATCTTGTGTCCAGCTAAAAAACTTTAGAAATAAACAAAACTTACATATTTCATAGATTGTGGAATTTTTAATTAGAATGAGCAGATGCCTTTTTAAGGGTTTTAATGTAGAAACTCTACTTTTTTGCAGAATAAACAATCAAAACTCAGACACACATTATTTATAGAAATGTCTTAATACATGTCCGGAAGGGATATTTGATCAGTCCTACTGCAGTAGAAGTCGTAATACCACAATGTAGAAATACTCAGTTACATGTACGAGTTCTGCATAAAGTACAAAAGCATCACAATATACGTAAAGTACCCAAAGTAAGTACTCATTAAGAAGAATTTCAGAATATTATAGAGGCCTACTTTAAGCACTTTAAGGACTTTCACTTGTAATTGAGTATTTTGTATAGATAGATACTTTATTTAGCAGCGAAGCAGATAATAAATACTGTACGTATTATAGGTGTTGTGCGTGTGTAGATTTTATAATCGGAGCCTCTTAGTTTCATTATGTTCAGTGTTTATTGTGTTTCTGCAGATCGGTGACAGCAGCTGTTTGAAATGCAGCTCTCTGATTGGATGAGCAGAGTGGTGACGCCCCCTACAGGACACAGACAGAGTTTTCAACAAGCTGAGTTTTATTCTACATCAGATCTACTGTCGTCTACTGTACACACAGATTATTACACAGCGGACACACACACACACACACATTTATACCTCTATACTTGTGAGGACACTCAGTGACATAATGGATCCCCTGACTGAACCTTTAAACCGTAAATGTTCCCACAATGCACTGGTGTCCTCACAGCGATGGTTTAAAATGGAGTCCTCACAAAGATTGATAACAAACACACACATACAGACAGAAACAGAAACGTCTTTGGCAGGAAGCAGCTTCTTCTTCTGCTGAACAAACGACGACACACACACACAGGAGCTGCACAGGATTGGACGGTGATGTCATCATGACAGTGATGACATCAGGTGGCGAAGCAAACACACACACACACACACACACACACACACAGACTGACAGTATGCAGTGTGTAGTGTTGTGAGAAACTAACTTTAATATCTGAATATTGATTGCAGGTCGACAGCTCCACCTGCTGTCAGAGTCAGGCACCTGCACTGAACAGCAACACGAAGGGATTATGGGAAATGAAGTTGAGGTAATGTGTCTTTAAACCAATGTTTGTTTTTAAAACTGATGAAGGTTTAATGTAACTGAAACTTATAAAAATTCATATTTACTTCATATTATATTTTTATATATTCTATTTATTAGATATAGTTTCTCCATATAATATTTTTTATTTCTGGTCCAACTTTCTTTTCTTGAGGCTCTAACAGCAGAGGGAGTTGTGTGTTCAGGGTCTGAATTTATCAAACTGCTAAAAGTTACATTTTGGGACTTTAGTGAAACATAAAACTAAAAGAATAAAAGTTATCGCCATTTATTTATTCACTTTTTACTCACTATGAATCTGTTGATCCAGCATGCTCATTTTAGTCCTGAACGCCCCACGTGGATCTCAGTTCATTTGTGCCCCACACTTGTTTTAATCACCAAACGCCCCACATTCGTTTTAGTCCATGAACTCCCCACATTTGTTTTAGTTCCTCTGTGCCCCACGCTGACTGTTCCACTTTTTAAGGCGTCCATTTTGAATTTTAAGGCAATATTCCAAAGTCAGTTTCACAATAAAATTTAATCTTTAAGGCGCTTGTTCGTTTGTTTTTTTCTCACTGATGTCAATTAACTTCGATTAATTAATTAACACTGAACTCTAGGTTGCGGGTCGTTGCAGCTGCGAGGCTCTGTAACGGTTACCATGACAACACAAGCATGGCAGTTAGTGGTCATATGTGGAGTAAAGTGTACAACTGACTGAACAACATATACACTGTGAGACTAAATCCTCTCATTCCACCTTAAAACTGCAGATAAGATTTAATTATGGTATTTCTAATGCTATAAGGCAATAATTAACAGATACATTAATAATAATTTCTTCCAGGTGACCAAAAAACATGACATCCTTGCTTAGTTTACCTTAATATGGCCTTAATTATTCAGTCAATAGTTAATAATCAGGTAAATGTTCATTAATGCCATTTTTAATTTTTTTAATTTAATCCATTAATTAACCCAGAATTTGCACCTTTTTTTCTTATAACATGAATTTAGCAGAGTAAATTAAAGTATTTCAATAATATTTTAATGGGATAATTGATAAATAAATGAATTGTAATACATTAAAAAAAAATTCCAGTGGGTTTAAACCAGTGCCTGAAACAGGAGGAACGAAAACACCAAAAATAAATAAACAAATGACCCAATAAACGCACCGACAGTCTTGCCGACAGTCTGAAAACACTCGGATTGAGTATTGGTTGGTTTTGGTTCGAGGATTAAAATAGTTAACATATCTCAGAGCCGAATCAGTGAAAACAGCACTGAAAATATCCTCGTTAAAATTAATAAAAAATGACATAAGAATTAGGGTACTTACACACTTTTTGGTCCAATTCAGGCCCTGGTTTAAATTAAAGGATCTCAAACAGCTCGATTTGGGTGTTAAATTAATGATTAATTAACGGGATTTTCTGAACTTTTTATTGATATTTCTAATTTTTAAGGCTTTGTTTCTAACTTTTAAGGCAACATTTTAAATTCAGTATCAGGTGTTTATTGTTGATCGCTGTAATGTCACTAATTAATTCCATGGAGAGGTTGTGTAACCATGACAACGCCGTCATGGTGGCTAGTGGTTACAAAGAGTTTTTCATGCAGATGAAAAAGTTTGACTACATCACTGACATCCCTTCATTTTTATTTTCAATTTCATTAATTCACCTTTTAGTAATTAAGGTAATTTTAATAGGATGTTCAGGAGATAATTAATGGATTATTTACATGTTTTAAGAACCTTGAAGGGGTACAAATTTAACCACATAAAAAAGAAAATCTCAATTTATACCTTCAAATTAAAATTTTTAGTTAATTTTAAGGTGTTTTTACTCCTTAAAAACTTTAAATCATGCAAATAATCCATTAAAACCTTTAATATATTATAATCAATTAATTTATTGATTAATGACGCAAAAATCTGATTTGAGCCCCCGAAAAAAGTCCCTTAATTGATAAATTATTCAGCTTCCTCTGAGTGATATCTACGCACGATTGTTGATGTAATAGTTTGTATGAGGTCATCACAGTGATGTCATCAGAGAGAGAGTTACAGAGATCTTTCATACAACAGACAACACACACACACACACACACCAAACCAAAGCCCATTAATAATAATAATAATAATTATAATAATCAATAACGGTGATAAAGCAGAAATCAGCGCCATCGTCCCATGTGGCTTAATCACCATCTTCATCATCATCATCGTCAGTTTTTCATGTCTCTGTGTGAGTCCGTTTGATCCCAGACAGGAAGTCAGTCTGATCGTCTCTAATTAATGGATTTATATTAACGGTATGAAGATTACACCTGCAACACCCCTAATGAACACCTGATCACCGCCCAACGACCTCCTAACGACCCCCAGATAAACTGTAGATAATTACCAGACCAAAGTCCTCTAATTAAGACACTAATCAGCCGGTTAATTAAGAAACTCACCTGTTAATTAACAATCTGACTTGTTAATGAACTAAATATTTTTTGCTGAATAACAGACAAGTTCCCTAAGTAACATACCGAGCTGCTCGTTAACGGCCCGACCTAATAAACCCCTGACCCCCCCTCGGACCCGGTCCTCTTCGGTCTGTCTACCAGACCTCACAGCGCTTCCCAGTGTTCATGGGCGTCCCTTCAGGACAGTTGAAGTGGCGGCTGAAGTCTGGCGAGTTGGCGAGTGTGCCAATGACTCTGTATCTGGGGGGGCTGTGGGGATCAGTCACCAGGCCTTCATGCGCGCTCTCTGGTGTCCGAACTGAACACCACACCTGAAAAACACAGAACGGGAAAAGTCAAGATGGTTTTAAGTCCCCATGAAACAAGAAGCAGAGTACTGTTTGCTTCCTCATACATGTTTCCTGTAAAAACAGGCAGCGAGGGAGGGATTATGCAGCTAGCGCTATGAGCTAGCGTCAACGTCTACCTTCTAGTGAACATAGCCGGACCCGGGCCTGAACATGATCTCCGATACCGTATACAGTACCATGGTGGTTTTCTTGGCGTGTTTCGCTCCTGGCAACCCGGGTCTGAGTCAGTTAGGTTAGCTGCACGTATCGCCTAGCGAACAGAAGTTAGTGGTTGGCTACTTATCAATCTTTCCATCAGGAAACTCTGTAAATGACCTAGGTGCTGTAACGTTATTCCCTGGCGGTCTCAGAGGCTGTGTCGATCCCGGTTCAGTCCGGCAGATACAGTTAGTAGCAGCTAATTAGCAACTAACAGTTTTTGTTTAAATGTTTAAATAGAGACTGAATCAGCCTTATTACATGCCACATTGAGTTGCTGAGTTTGAAGGTAGTGGGCACATAAATCACTGTGTCATCAGCATAAAACATGAGGGGAAGTAGAAGTGGCCCCAGTATTGAACCTTGTGGGACACCGTTCTGTTGAGAGGGTAACTGAGGCGTTATTATTCGTCTCACCTGAGCAAATCCCACGAAGAAGAGTTGATCATTTGTCAGGTTGACGGCAGGAAGTCTCTTCTCCTCTCCACTCTTCTGGACCCACGATCGATAGGCCTGAAGAACATACATTTATTGATAGGTGATTATGTAAGAAACATACAGGATGATGTGGTTTTCTAGCGCTGGCAGTAGGGTTCAGCTGATGATGTGATGTTACCTCAGTATATTTTAGTTCATTTTGATGTCACTTGTTCATACTAACATGGTACGCTGCCTTCAGTCCTCCATTGTCTGCAATGTTTTCTCCGAGCGTCTGTTTTCCATTGACGTGTTCTCCGTTGACAAGGTAGCGGCTGTACTGATCCACCATGCACTCTGTTCTCTGCCGAAACGCCTCCACTGACGAGTTCTGCCACCACGGCCTCAAGTTTCCTTCTTTATCGTACTCGCGACCTGACGTTAGGAGGGACGACATCTTAACATGAGTTCAGGGTTGTGTTCAAATGTTACTTTGAAAATCTTAAAAACCACCTAGAAATCATTTATAACATCAAAGAATTAACAATTTAGCAACACGGTAAATGTGCATGTGTATGTCCATGTAAAGAGACATTTATCTCAGTCCTCACATTTAAATGCACAGTCAGAGTGCAGTGAATGCATCATCACCTCCAGCAGGAACTGAATATGTGACAGGAAGTAAACAGGAACAGAGGTCCAGACTCACCTTGATCATCGAAAGCGTGTGTGAGCTCGTGACCCATCACCACCCCGATCCCACCAAAGTTCAATGCCCTGAAGACACAAACGCAGGTTTACAAAGTTTCTCCAAAGATCTGAAGAGTCTAGAAACCAGAGACTGTCTCAAGTGCCACCAGTGTCCCCTAGAGGTTGCAGAGTTTATTACAGCCACAATATGAACAAACAACACACTGACTATTTGGCTACTCATAGAGCCTGAACAGTAGTGGAGCTAAACATGTAAAGATTGTCCTGAGGTTTGCGCTAGAGGAAAGTCTGTGCTCCAATAACACAGATATAACAATAGCTAGCCTCAGTCAGTGAACTTAAATATGCTAAGTGCTAGGCTAATCTATGTTGAAAAGACAACCACATTTTGAAGATGGTTAAAAGATAAAAGAGACACATATATATAGTCACAGCTTAAGTTAGCTAATGTTAGCAAATCATTAGCTAACTATATCTGATATTTCAACTCAAAAAACATCACAATATTGTGGCACATAAGTAGAGTTTAATAGAAATGTGTAAAGGTGGCATCAGAAATGAACAAATTGTTTTATTTCAAAATCTTCAGACATTTTTCCAAATGCATGTTGTTCATTGAAGTTAATATCACTGAGTTAGCTAGCATTTTTTAGTTGTCTTTTCAACATAGATTAGCCTAGCACATAGCATATCTAGGTACAGGAAAGGAGGAAGTTGACTCAACTGTTATTGGAGCACAGAACAAAAAGGGGCGGGACTTAGGAAGGGTCAATTACTTTTTTATAGGTGTAATAAGTCCCTGACAGACAGGTGGACACAGACAGGTAGATATAGAGGTAAACAGACTTGGGGTGATCGTGGGCGTAGAAAGGAGCTTGTAGGATCCCAGCAGGGAAGACGATGCCGTTCTTAGTGGGCATGTAGTAGGCATTAACTGTAGGAGGAGTCATACTCCACCTGGAGGAGGAGAGGAGGGGAGGAGACAAGGAGAGGAGTGGAGCAGAGGAGACAAGGAGAGGAGGAGAGGAGTTATTTTGTTTTCCTACCAGTGGATCAAAAAGTCCAGGGGTCGTTTTCACAAGTATCCTCAATGAGACGGAGGTCAACATCTGTGAGCTTTATTGGTTAATTCATCAGCGGGACTACCAACCCAATCACTTCCTCTTCCACCTCCTTCCAAAACACACTGGCAACCAGATATATAAGAACGAAAAGAACAAGCAGAAAACAAAGGTGAAATTAACTTTTAATGGGTGTATTAAAGGAGAACTGGATACTGCGTTCAAAGATGGCTGCTCCATTCGTTCATATGGAAGCTGCTCACTGGGAGGACACTGAATGGCCCTCCATGGCCCATAGAGCATGCTCAGTAGAGCTCCCCGTACCCATGAATGTGGTGAAATGATGATGAATTGATGGATAGCATGTAAACGCAGTCTCTCTTCAGAGAGGAAAAAGATTTACTCTAACTCGCCCTGAAGATTTGTGAATACGACCCCTGATTAGACGTGTGTGTGTGTTATTATTACTGGTCTTTGTTGGGAGTCTTCCTCAGCTGGTCGGCCATCACTCGTGAGGAGAAGTTGTAGAAGTTCAACATGTTCTGGAAGAAGCTGTCATCTGACACATCGTACTGAAACACAGAATGTGTGTGATGGTGTTTAACAGCAGAGGGCAGCAAAGAGTCACTCGCCCAAATATAAACCTGTCTCCCTGCTCTACCTGTCTGCAGGTGAATGAGATGTTTGACAGCTGTCACTCACCCCGTCGTAAACGTCGTCCAGCTCTTTGGAGTCTAAGATGAATTCTGGGAAACCGATCATATCGTATATCGCATCTGCCTAACGAGGGATAAACAGAAACAGTTAGACCAATCAGCATCTTTAATCTACTAGTCTGTCCTCCTGTCTGTCCTCCTGTCTGCATACCTTGTCTTTAGCAGCCTGTCTTGTGTGGTCGTCCATCCAGTTGAGTCGGTCCAGAGCGTCTTTAAACGCTGTGCGGATCTCGTTAATCATCTCCTCGGCCTGAGAGAGACAGAAGGAGAGTTGATGAACCAGACCAGACCTGTTTCAGGTCCAGGACTGTCCCTCCCTGCTGTAGGATCCAGATTATGATCGTTCAAGTGTAAACAATGTTGTGACTCACGATGTCTTTGCTGTGTTTGTCAAAGGTCGCCTTAACGAAGAGCGCTCCCAAAGCGAAGCCCAGAGTGTCGTCAGTGTTCCCGATGCAAGTCTGCCAGCGAGGGGTGCAGGACTGCAACAAACCACAGCCAGTTACAACCAGTTGGTTCCAGTTTCAGATCAGAACCACTTAGATGCGACTAGGAAACAGCAGCAAGAACCAGTTTCCCCAGTACACCAGCACAAACTAAGCTACAGCTAACCCAGTAAGAACAAGTTAGAACCAACCAAACACATGAAAACCTATTACAGCCCAGTGGAAACACCTCAAACCAGTAACTGACAGTTAGAACTAGTTAAAGTACCATCACCAGCACTGGGACCCTCTGACTGAGAGGGGGATTACCAACCAGTACCTGTAGTCAGTCATTAAAAGTAGTTTTAAATGCTGTTAATATAACTTTATTAGTAGCAGTACTTGTAGTAGTATTTGTAGTATTTATAACAGTAACAGTAGTAGTACTTGCAGTAGTATTTGTAGTATTATTTGCAGTATTTGTAGTATCAGTACCTTCTTGGTCCCGTAGAGAGACTCCAGCAGTTTGTCCTGAGCGTTCTCAAACCGTTGATCCAAACTGGCCACGCTCTTCTGAACCAATGTCCACATCATGTAGTTATTCAACAGACTGAACAGACAGACAGGCAGACAGGCAGGGGGTCAGACTGGGAGACAGGTTAGAGACAGTACACCTGTTGAGAGACAGACGGCCAGCAACTGTTTCTGACCTGCGGTCCGTTTTGTTGATGAGGTCAGACACCTGCTGCAGGTACTCTCTGGCATACAGGACAACAGGTTCGGTGTCGTTTAGGTCCAAAGGAGTCAGAGCGGAAGACAGGTAGTCCAACCAGTCCACCGCTGGAGCAAGCAGCTGAAACACCAACAAAGAAGAGACATTAAAGATTATTATATAAGATTTAAAGCATTAATATATCAACTATCAGTTATACCACCCATTTTTGCTCAGTGCTCCAATAACAGTTGAGCAAGCCTCAGTCAACTTCCTCCTTTCTTGTACCTAGATATGCTATGTGCTAAGCTAATCTCTGTTGAAAAAACAACCACATTTTAAAGTTGGTTAAAATATAATAGCTAGCTATTGTTAGCTAACTACCTAGCTAATCTACATCAATCATCAGTGGGTGATTAGTTAAAAGCAACATATATGTAGTAACATCTGAAGTTAGCTAATGTTTGCAAAGCAATAGTTAACAACCCAGCTAATCTACATCAACTGTTAGCTATTTAGTTATCTATCTAGCTAGTAAATGTTTAGCTAACATTATCTAACTTAAGATGTGACTATATATATTTATCTTTTATCTTTTAACCGTCTTCAAAATGTGGTTGTCTTTTCAACATAGATTAGCCTAGCACAATAAAGTCACAAAGTGCCTTCTGTATTCTTTTAATGAAGATGGGAAAACTTTGGAGAATCAGAATGTTTATTTGCATTTGTACAACAAAGAGCACTGTCCTTTACTGTTCACTTAGCATTAGTGGGAGTACTTTCTTTAGCCCCAGGAAAGGTCTGTCTTCCAACAGCCTTCATTAATAAGCTAAGACTAACTGTATGTAGCCTGAGAGGGAAAAGCCGGGGCAAAAAAACACTGAAACACCAGCTGCTCATTAGGTTCACTGTAAAATCAAACTCTGGACCACATCTGTCCGTCCCTCAGTCTGTCTGTCTTAGTAATCCTCAGTGTGGGAGCAGACTGCACCACCCAGGGGGGAGATGCTGAGATGAAAAACTAATCCCTGCTGTCTGCTTCAGCTTCAGAAAGTCAAAACACCCAAACCTGGAGACTCTGCAGAGAGAATCCGACGTCCACATGTGGACTCACTTGAATGAAAGAAGTTTGTACATGTTTGTTTCTTTCTTCATCAATCAGAAAAAGTTAATTTAAACATAAACTAATATGACCCAATTTATTTGAGTTTAGAGCTCCTTCTCCATATAAAACATTTAAGTTTTGGTCTTTAATAAAAAAATCTATAACAGTACATTCAGTCATAAGGAAGCTTGTTATATAGTTTGTTTCCAGCAGGGGGTGCTGGAGGCTCAGTCACCTCAAAATAAAATGTCCTAACCCTATCCAAAAAATCCATCATAAATCATTATTATTGAAGAAATGAGATTGTGTAACTGGTGAGGCCTGTTTGCTGCAGTACTTTTACTTTTTCTATTGATTGTATGTAACTTTATTAAGTACACTGACTGATTTCTATAAGATGAGATGTTCCTTTATTGATCCCCTGTAAGGGAAATTGAAATGGCTACAGTAGCACAGAGGAACGTAGTGCAAAGAGTAAAGAAATAGAATAAAATACAATAAAATAGAATAACTAAACAAGGTTAAAAAAAAAAGTAAACTCCCTACACTGATGGTACTATATACAGAATAAATACAGTGCTAAGTAGGTAGAAAAGTAAAAAACTGAGTAGGATTAAAAAGGCCAAAGGTATAAATAATGAGAGGGAGCTGCTGTGTTGCTGCCAGAAGAGCTTCTCATCCTCCTCTTTGTTGTTCTGTTCTGTGTTCAGTTGATGTAATGAAACATTTAAAGAAGAACATCTTTCAAACATTTAAGGAAGATCAAAGAACACCGAGGGAGAACCTTTTGGCTTCACGCAGGAACATTTTCATATTCTTGTTGTCATATTCTGTTTTAACTTTATTTTAACAGAAACAACCAATGTAGTTTGTTCAGTTGATGAACGTCATCTGTTCTTGAGGAGGTGATTGTTCAAGAGATTTTATTGAATGTTTTCTGGTACAGGATGTTTTCTCTCCAATTCAAAAACAACTAACTACAATTCTGCTCTTTCTTAGTTGTTCACGTGTCGTCTTTTTCTTATTATTATTTATTTTGATATGACATGAATGCAGATTAAGTCCTTATAATTTCAGGTTAAATAAATTGTTTTTCCTTGTGGAAAGAGACATACTGGCTGTCCACAGCTCTGGACCACAAATTCTCTTAATCTACTCATTTGTGGAAGTTAAGAAGGACTCTTCGCATATATATATTATTGAATTTATTTATATTTTTTGCCTTTAGTTCAGTGCTGTAAATACGGGGCTTAGGTCAGTGCTGTAATGATATCATTAATATTAACTTTATTTCATAAGCTTTAGTGAAATCCAATATTTTAATTTAAAAATATATATTTTAGGGGGATTTGATTGCCTTTAATTGATAGACAGCTCAAGATTGACAGGAAAGGGGGAAGAGAGAGTGAATGACACGCAGCAAAGGTCCAAATGTCGTACTCGAACTCATGTGCACGGCAGCAATTATATTCCCTGTCCCTGTTTGGTGCTTTCATGGCACAGAACAGACATATAATCATTAATTAGAGGCTTTCAGTCTTCTCACTCTACACATGGGGTCTTAATGATGAAACCAGAGCTATGAGCCGCAGGGGCTGCTCTGCTCCACAGTCACCACAAACATATGGTACATAATGATAAACAATAATAATGATAAACAACGTCCATGTTTATGCAGATGAATTCAGGACAAAGAAAAAGGTCAAAATGAACCTGCAGTGACATTTCTCTCAAGTCTTCTTCATGTTCATATCGTCCATGTTTATATAATAACCTGTTATCTAACCTCTCTCTCTCTCTCTCTCTCTCTCTCTCTCTACCCCTTTCACTCTCTCTGCCAAGAAGATGCAGGCACATAGCAACAGCTCTTGGCAACAGTTGCCATGGTGACCCCAGAAGCATCTGCAACCCAGAAGGACAGAGCTGCAGCAGAGAGAGACAGAGAAAGAGAGAGAGAGACTACACTCTGACAGAGCAATATCACTGCTTAGATTGTCAGTGTAAAAACTATTTATTAAAGAGGCTGACAGTAACACTGCAGACACATCAGCAGTGAGATGGAAGATGAAGGACATGGACCAACACTCACACGTCAATTAGATAAAATCTGATAAATGAATTGCTCCATTTTACAGCTGATCTCTCCCACAAAACCCAAATAAACGTCTTCTTAGCGAGTTAGAAATAATTAAATACAAAATACAGTAAGAGAAATTTTAAAAAGCATCATTACTTGTGTGAAATAAACCAGACTCATGGTGCAATTGAAATCACAAACTGTGCTAATGTACCACAAACTCAATCAGTATGAACTGCGGATTTAATAAGCAAACGACTACGTCTTCCCTGTATCACATGATCACAATCACAACAGCTACCGTTGAAAAAACCTGAATATAACTCAGTACTACACCCAATATTTTCCAGTATCATCAAATCAATAATCTATCAGTAAAATCTATAAACAGTGTATACACTCTAAACTAAACTAAAGTTGTGTTCTTACATTAACCCAAATGTTCATGTCACTTTATTCAGGTAACACTGCGTTTCACCAGTCGCCTGTCGATGGCGTCATATCCCCTTTGTGCCTGCGTCAGCGTTGTG